GAGGCACCATCAGCTTTCTTCACCACATTTGCTTATGCACCCGCTTTGTCTTCAGCAATAGTATTGGGAAGGTGAGCATCATAGAAAGCCAGTTTAATAGAACAAAGTGTTCTTGCATTGAGAAGTACTTGAGTGAAGGCCCAATGTCCATCTGCTACCTTAATACTAGACCTATAAATATAGGCACATAGATCTATTTCCCCATCATCATGTATAAATATATTTATATATGTACATGCCTGTATTAGATCTCTATAAATGCCCTTTGCCTCCTAGTTCTTTCCTCTAGCTCCTTTTACTTTCCTCTTGTCCCACTATCATGCTCAGCCTTCATTTGGGTTTAAGTATTTCCTCTCAGTTACATTGCCTAGGCCATTCTTATAACAGTCCAGGGACTGAGTTGGCCAGTGGTCTGTCTCAAGTCAATAGTGGAACAAGGAACAGAATTAGGTGCATCAAAAGGGGATGTGGTCAACAGCATTGATTGCCTTTTTTGGGGCATTGCTGTATGCCTAAGCTACAGAACGCAGAGTGGGGATTATTTAATAGTTCCTAATGACAACAGTATTCTGAAGTTATATTTATCCTCTGCTTAGTCAAACACCACCACAAACACCCATGGCACCTCTACAGTGCTGAGGAATTGCTAGAGACGTGGGTCTGCTCTCATTAAACAAAAAGCAATTGTCAAGTGATCCATTGCCAGAGCATTTCCTTCCTCTAAGGTCACTCACTGGTTCTGAGCAGAAAGAAGATGGAAACCAAAGGAATATGGTGAGCTGGTGAGAAATGTGTGTGCCTCGTGTGTAAAAACAACTGCTTTTACGATGCGACACACCTTGGGAACAAATAAAAAGTATTTGCCTAAACTATCCTTACACTGTATATTCTTTAGTGAGCACAAGCTGATCTGTACCATTCTGAAGCACCCACCCCCTTGAAGGGGAGAGGACTGAGCTAGACTTGGTGTTTATCCATTTTCTAGTACTAACATGCTTGGTAGGAGCCCTGGTGGCATAGCAGGTTATGTGTTCAGCTTCTAGCCTCAAGGTCAGCAGTTCAAACCCACCAGCCTCTCTGTGGGAGAAAAATGAGAGTTTCTGCTTCCACAAAGTTTATAGCCTCAGATATCCCAAGGGGGCAGTTCTACTTTGTCCTATTGGAAGGCTAGGAGTAAAAATCAAGCTCATGCTTGGTACAGTGGAGGATCTGCGAAAAAAGAAAAAGACTCCCAAAGAGATGGACCGACACAGTGGCTACCCCAATGGGTTCAACATAATAGCAATCGCAAAGATGACATCGGACTGTGTCCGGAGTGCTTCATCCTGTGATCCACAGGTTCGATATGAGTCAAGGCGGACTGGACAGCACCTGACAACACCAAGCAACACACATACAATAGCCATGTTATAAACATGAATAGAGCCATTGCAGATTCATTTCATTTGTCGCTTGATCAGGAGAGAAAAATGTGAAAATATCTAGTAACGAACAAGTGTGAGGTAATAAGTTAATTCAGAGCTTAGATATTGTCCAGCCAAAACGCCCAAGTAAGTACTGCATGGTTCCGCTGTGGTATTACACAGCTTCACTTTCTATCCAGAGACACAACCAGGACTGACACCATGTTGCAGGGCATCTTCTCAGAGGGTCCAGAAAGGCTGCAAGAGTAAAAGCCTAGCAAACCAGAGAAGAATAAACCTGCGAAGTTGACCAGGGATCAATTGTATGGACTTTGCCCAAGCCGAACTCACTGGCATCCAGGAAACTAAACACGCTGCTGTCAGCTCCCAGTGACCCTGCAGGCCAGACTAGAACTGCCTCGTGGAGGTTCCCAGGCTGGGCATTTATGGAAGATGGCTGCGTCTGCCTCCCTGGGTGCACCTGATAGGATCGCTCATGGGCTGGAACAACAGGCCTTTCTGTCAGCAGACAAGAGCTTCACCGCAGTATCAGCAGGCCCGTTTCAGCCAGGAGTTGAGTCTCAAAGGAATCATTTGAATTAGTATTCCCAGCCCAATTGCTGGCACATCATAACCTTCCAAGGAAACCCACTGCCATCCGGTTAATTCGGACCCACAGTGACCGTCTGCAGGGTTTCTGAGGCTGTGCATCTGTACTGGCGCAGATAGGTCCGTTTTCTTCTAGGAGCAGTTGGTGGGCTTGAACCACTGACCTTGTGGTTAGCCATTCCACACTTACCCAGCAGGGCCCCCAGAACTCCTCGGCACATGATGAATGCTTCAGAAATTTTAATTTCTTCTCCTAATGATTTTCTAAGTTGAGTAGATGTGCTTTATTGGGTTTTTCAATAAGTACGATCTGCTAACCAGACAACTGAGGAGAAATACATTTATAGAAATGAACTCCACAAGTCAGATTTTTTTTCCCCTTCTCCTTCCCATGGCATGCCCTGATTTTGTTCCGGATCCTACCCAGGCAGTCATTTGACCTGGCATCTCGCCCCAGCAGATGCACCATCTGACAGGAGATTCGGGGCTGAAGAAAACGATGCATTGAAAAGAGGGATTACTTTGTCCCCACTCAGAATAGAAAAAGGTTGCAGAACGTTGGCATTCGGAGTTTTGTACCTTCTGGGTCTCAGGTCTCAACTTGTCGGATCAGCTTTGGAAGAGAGAGTTAGTCTAAGACATGACCTAGACCCCAAACAGGTTACACGCAAGCTATTTCGTTCTTTGTGTGCACGGGCGGGCCTCCCAACTCCCGGAGGAACAGGCTTGGCCGAAAACAACCGACACACTTTTCCTGCTGGCACGTCTTTCTAAAACCGTGCCTCTTTCTGCAAGATTAACTGATACCATCTGTGAGTCTGCGGCCCTGCTTCCAGCCGGCGTGGCCCGCTGCCTGTTTGCTCCTCTGGCGTCTTTTCCCAGGGCAGGCCTCCCTGCTGCGGCTCGCTGATGGCCCGCTGCCGCGTCCGAGCGCCCGTCGCGTCCTGTAACCCCTGCTCCCAAACCTGCATCCAAGGCAAAAACAACCCTTCGGAGACAGACCCCGCCCACGGCCTGTGATAGGCCGCCTGGAATAGCAACAGCCTGTGTCACCCGCAAAGGGCAAAGCCTTCGGAAATAGAAACAAAGTTGGTCACAAATCACATTGCCGTGGCCTGAAGGGCTCTTTCCCCCCCCACCCACCCTTCCCCTCTCTGCACTTTTCTTTTAAAATGCTACCATGGAGAACGTGATCCGTCCGGTCTGCGGGGCGAGTGGGGGTGGACTGGTGCCCAGGAGCCGAGGGCCATGGTACCTGTTGAAAGCCCAGAGGAGCCTACGCTGCTGCCCCAGAAGGGGACAGCCACCGAGAAGGCTGATGGCAGCCGTGCAGCCCGCGGGGACCTGCATCCTCCCGGAGAGGCAAGAGGTAAAGTGAGCAAGGGAGCGTGCTGTGGGGTGGCTGGTGGGGCTGGAGACCCGGACACACACACACACACACCCCGGTGTGTGGGGGTGGGGACAGGGGACTGGACCTGGTGAGCGTGGGAGTGAGGAGTCACTAAAGGGGGTGATGATTGTTTTACTTCATTCCCCCTGGAACTGTGAGTTACGCACCCACTACTGGTAGGACAAGTCCCCCTCAAGGTGTGGACACAGGACGTGCTAAATCTTCCTTCTGGAAAAGTTGCTCTGTAAGATTACCCCACGTGCAAACACACGCGTGCGCACACGCGCACACGCACGGGCTCTGTTCCACTTGCTGGCACACCGTGGCCAGTAGACATCGCAACCACCATTTTGTAAATCAGACACTTGCCAAGGCGGCATCTAAGCGTTCCGTTCTGTGATGGTTCTTTCCAGAGTCATCGATACTACAGCTTTAAAAGAATAAAAACGACCTCCTAGCACCCGGCTGCGGTGGATCGGTTTGCGATCTCTGCTTTCTGTAAAAGCACCCTTCGGGACTGCGGTTGGTTGAATGCTTTTTCCAGACAGAAGTGGTATTTGGAAAAGTTTTCATTCATTTCAGTTACCCTTGCTGAACCAAACGCTTTCTCGCCGATTCCACGTTGACAGTCCTCACAAACACAGGGTGGTGTTCTGCTGATTCTTGTGATTCGTTCCGTGTCTCAAGGGAATAGGAACTGATTTTAATATTAACTGATATAAAAAGACACACTCTTCTTCCTTGTAGGCCTGCTCCATCTGGTCACAGCATACATTGCCAACCCGCACGTGGGCATTACATGAGTAACTACATAATACAAAGGGCACTTAGCTTTTCCCTTGGAGAAGACGTGTCTAACTTTCTGTTTGCACTGTGAGTCTGTCTGCTGTTCGAAGGGGCCCACGGCCCCTCATGCGAAGGCGTGAAGCTGCTCCTCTCCGGGAACTGAGAAGCTGCCGCTCGCTTCAGTGTTCCCCTCCGTGGTCAGCCTTCTCTTGCTTCCCCACTTCCGGTCACAAATGAGTAGTTGCAGTCAACTTTCTCTGTGGCCAGACCTGTACCCCTCTCTCCTAAGCAGAGCCCCCCCTTACTTGCTCGCCCCTCCTAAGTTTCCGATGAGCAGGCAACAATAAACACACTGCCCTCAATCGATGCTGACTCAGAGCGGGCCTGGGGGGCAGAGTGGAACAACCGTGTGGATTTCTGAGCCTGGGAATCTTCAGAGAGCAAAGAGCGTCACTTTTCTCCCAGGGCAAGGCTGGTGGCTTGGCCGTTAGCAGAGAAATGCTTACCCTACGACGCCACTTGTCAGCTCGCAAGGGAGCATGTATTGGATACAGAGAAATCCCTGCTCAGTTCTTTTCTCTGAATTCCTGAGAATGAACAGGGCTGCAATGTTGCCTGCAGAGTAAGTTGAGGTGGTCATGTTGGTAAAACGGCTTCCTCAGTAGGAGCAGAGTCCATGATAATGCCACCAAAAAGTTGAGCAGAACCTTTACCCAGAAGAGGCCTTTGTGGTTACAGTGAAGATTACCGATTGGGTTGTAGCCTGGCTCTTAACTTCCCAGTCACCGCCAGGAAAAGAACATGCAATACATGCTTCCTACAGCTGAGGACACACCAGAAAGCGCCCCAAAAGAGCAGCCGTGTATGCGGGTGCAGGGACATAGAGATGAAGGCATCCATCCTGCAACGGATTCTTCAAATTTAATTTTAAATGAATTTCTATTGCCTAGAAGAGGGACTCTGATCTATTTCCCTAAAATCTCAAATAGCTACAGCTTTGATTTGTGCTGTATGATACTTAGGTGACTTAAGTATGAATTTTCATACTTTGTAAATTTTACAGAATTGCCTTGATTATTCTTTGGCACAAGGATAATTATATGTGTGACTCTATATACATATATATATGTGACATATGAGCCCTCGTAGTGTAATGGTGACCCACTGGGTTGCTAACTACGAGGTGGCAGTTCAAAACCATCAGCTGCTTCTTGGGAGACCCGGCTTTTTATTCCCATAAAGAATTACAGTTTCGGAAACCCACAACTCTACCCTGCCCTATAGGGCCACTAAGAGTCAGCATTGACCCCAGGTACAGAACTGCTCCCTAAGGTTTCTAAGAGAGTAAATCTTTTAGGAAGCAGACAGCCTCATTTATCTCTCGTAGAGTGACTGGTAGGTTCAAACCACTGACTTTGTAGTTAGCGGCACAATGTATAACCCACTGTGCCACCATCAGGGCTCCCTCTTAGTATCATTAGGATGTCTTCAGAATTAAGGGGATCTGCTGAGCCAGTGAAATTCAAAACTGAGAGATCAGCTCGGAAGGTTATGGAAACTGCTTTTGGGGATTTGAAATCTTGATAGATTTTCTTGAAAGACATGGGATAATCATGGAGGCTTATTGGGAAGACGTTTTAAGAAAATCATCAACTATGTTAGTGAAGAAAAAGGCCAGGAAAGTTGCACTGAGAAAACATGTCCCCATGACATGACAGCAAAGTCTCCAAAGAGAAGCTGCACCTGCTCCTTCTCTGAGGGCAGTAAGGGCTGTCCTGTGAGCATCTCATTGGGAAGCCGTACCTTTACCTGCAGCCCTGATCTCTAACCGCCCACCCCCACCCCCCTCCACCCACCTCCCAGACCTCTTTTTGTTCTTCAAACTCAAAGAATATTTAAAAGGAATACAATTCGAGTCCCTGAAAGATGGGAAACCAGTTGTGTGACATGGTATATACTAAAGATTGAAGAATTCTTTGGGAAGAGATATAAGATGCAAAAACTCCCTTCAGAAATGTACAGACCTAAATGGAGGATATGTCAAACCTTCATTAAATGAAAATATAAAAATGTGAAACATTAGTTTATTAGCATTTTTTAAACAACTAAAAGTTTCACATTTTGACATTTTTTAATGAAGAATATTATGATAAGCCTTAACATCCTAGTAAATCTGGCTAAAATATAATCCCCCTATTAATTAAAGGTTTAATAACCTATCGGGCCCTAGAGCAAGTCCATTTTATATTTTAGTCTGGTTTACTAAGATGCTGAGGTTTAATGGGGGAAAAAAAATCTATCAAAGACTGCTTTCACCTTCTTTGTACTTACATTTTCTATGGTTTATTATATCTTATTAACTCATAATATTTAAGATACTATTATCATAATATACCTGCATTTGAAATGAGCAAATGAAGCCTCTAAGTCAATACCCTAGCTGGAAAAAATGAAAGCACAAAGAGAAATTATTATGAAACCCAGGACAAGGTAATTAAACCATTTAGGGTCCTGAAAAATAAAACAAAATGAAACAGAGAAACACCAAGTTCTCCTTTTCTTGAATTCTATTACACACACTGAAAAATGTTGGCAGGTCTTTCTCAGACAACTCCTCTTAAACTGAAAAGAATGTTTTGTTCCAGCGACTAGCAGCTCATGAACTGACACTCATTTTCAAGGATCTATGACGCAGTGGGCGTGTTTTCAGTTCAATGGCAATGGCCAAGATCTTGTCAGAATGGGCCTTACGGGACAGACCTGAACTCAATTTGAAATGCTCTTGCCTACACCAGGTGAGGTGAGGAAACAGACTTCCAGACCAAAAGAGTGGTTGCCTAGGTTACTCAGCAATTGACTGAGAATGAACCGTAGTGATCTCTGGCCTAGGCTGCCTTATGTCCAGGCCTTCATCTGCAGGCCTTGGATCTCCAGGCTTTTCCTATTTTATGATGCCAACAATTGGCTACAGAGAGGGTTTCCAAAATTCACCCGTTGCCCTCACCCATCAGCACTGCTTTTCTTCTCTGTTCAGCCTACAGGGTCCAAAAACAAGAGCAATTTATACTGCGTGAGTCTAAGTCTCCATTCAGTAGCCCTACTGGTCAAACAAATTATCTCAATCCCACAACACTGAGAACTGGACTCACGAAACAAAGGGCAACATTACATCCCCACTGAATAAAACCACAATGGTTGACCTCCAGTCCACTCTGATGCCCGGCAGCCCATGTGCAGTGTAGAACTGAGCTCCATACAATTTCCTCTTTCTCCTCTCTCTCTCTCTTTTTTTTTTTTTTACCTTATCTGTGATTTCGATGAGAGTTTACAGAACAGATTGGCTTTCCATTAAACAGTTCATACACATTTTGTTTTGTGACATTGGTTGCAATTTCCAAAAGGTATCAGTCCTCCCCCTCCTTCTTCCTTGTGTTTAATTGTTTAATTGTTTCCAATTAAATCATTTTTAAATCATTTCATTGGGAGCTTGTACAAACTCTTCTCACAATCCATACATTCATTCATTGTGTCAAGCACATTTGTACATTTGTTGCCATCATCACTCTCAAAACATTCGCTTTCTACTTGAGCCCTTGATATTGGGTCCTCATTGTTCTCCTCCCTCCCCCACCTTCCCTCTCTCATGAACCCTTGATACTTTAGAAATTATTATTATTATTTATTCATGTCTGACACTGACTGATGTCCTTCTTTCCTTCCTACCTTCAGTGCTTTATCATGGGAAACTGCTGCCCCGTTGACCGGCTATCGTTGATGGCTCTAAGAAATGTGTATCACCCTGTTGGTATTGTTCACTTAGAGGCCTGTCTATTGCTTGAGTGAAACCTGAGCCAGGAGAGCAAGCTTTGTTCCAGGCTAAGGGCCGAAGTCTCCGGGATTCTATCAGTTTCTATCACACCAATACACCTGATTCCTTAGGTCATTTCCAGCTTTGTTCTACGTTTTTTTCTCCCGCTTTATCCAGCACCTCCTATTGTGATCCCTTTCAGAGCAGTCAGAAACAGTAGCCAGGCACCGTCTAGTTCATCTGGTCTAAGGAGGATGGAAACTAGGTTCCAGAAGGTTCAATTAGAGCTTGGCATTCATTGTTTCCTTCTGTGGCTGATGTCACTCCTCTTTGCTTCAGTTATGGAGCCATCCATAGTTGAACTTTGAATGGCTGCTGCTAAGCT